TCTGTGCTTCCTTACAGACTGCACTCCTGGAGGACCCCGTGTTCATCCACCCCAGCTCAGTCCTCTTCAAAGAGCTCCCAGAGTTTGTGGTGTATCAAGAGATTGTTGAGACTACAAAGCTGTACATGAAAGGTGGGTGCTGTGGGTGAGGAGCCCACAAATGCCTTGGCAGTGTTTCCCCCCTGTGCTGGCCTTTCTGTGTGGTTGTGACTCCTGGGATTTGGATCCTTAAGGCTTCCTAGATCTGGATCAGGAGATAAATTGGACTTTTTTTCTTATTTATGTGGCAGAATTGGCTGGAGCAAAGCTCAGCTTCTGAAATACCTCCTTTGCCCCAGCCCTGCCAACCACAGCTGCCTGCTGCTGATCTCTGAACAGACCTTTTACAACATAAAAAGTCTGAAAAAGATGAGGGACAAGTAGATCTCTGGAGATGAGACCCTGACCATGCCCTGTATCCCTAGGGCTGCCAGTGAGCTGTGGCCCCTGGCAGCAAACCTGCATCCAGGTGTGTTTTCCCTCCTCAGGTGTGTCTGCAGTGGAGCCCGAGTGGATCCCTGCCCTGCTGCCACCCTACTGCCACTTTGGGAAGCCTCTGGAGAGCCCCCCTCCCTCCTACTGCCCTGGCACGGGCCGGGTTCGCTGCCACAGACCCAGTGTCTTCTGTAAGTGTCCCTCAGGAGCTGCTCTGCCTCTCACAGCAAGGGCCAAGGAGGTGCTTTGGGCACCTCCACGGGGTTTGTAGCATTTAGATATTGCCATTTCCCCCTGAAGTGGGCACTGTGAAGGCTGGCTGGGGCTGGCAGTCCCCCCCTGTGGTTGTGTTCCAGGGTGCCAGGACGAGGGAAGAGATGAGAATCTTGACTCCATGTTTCAGAAGGTTGATTTATTACATTATGATATATGTTATATTAAAATTATATACTAAAACTATACTAAAAGAATAGAGAGAAAAGGTCCATCAGAAGGCTGGAAAGGACAGGGGAGGAATGATAACAAAAGCTCCTGACTCCCAGAGAGCCCGAGCCAGCTGATTGTGATTGGCCATTAATTAGAAACCACCACCATGCACCCATCCCAGCTGCACCTGCTGCATCCCACAGCAGCAGATAATTATTGCTTACATTTCTTTCCTGAGGCTCCTCAGGAGGAAAATCCTGGCAAAAGCATTGTTCAGAAAATACCGTGGCTACATTCCCCACTTCTCCTGGCACCTGTGTTGTCCCCCCTGCCTGGAAATGTGCCCTCCTGGGGGAGCCTGGAGCAGACCTGGGGTGTTTTGTGTTGTTCCAGACCGGGTGGGCTGGCAGCTCCCTGCTGTGGAAGTTGATTTCCCCGCAGGAATCGATCGCTACAAACACTTTGCCAGGTTCCTGCTGGAAGGAAAGGTGAGTGTGCTCCACCTGCACCGTTTCCCTCATGGTAGCAATCAGTTTTTAGCCCAGTTTTTGGAGGAGATGAACCTTATGGCTTCATTTTTTCTGCATCCCCGTTCCTCCTCACTTGCTGGTGGATGGAAGAGTTTGTTGTGGTTGATGAGGTGGGAAGAGATCTTTAAAACACAAAACAAGCATGAAAAAACCCAGTATTTCAGTGAAAGACACCCCCAAATTTAAGTCCTGTTTTTGCAAAGTTAAAAAAGCTAATAGCTCTGCCTTTGTCCACCCTGAGACAGAAGAATTGTCCAAGAAGTCAGGACAAGGTTATGGACACAGGGATGGGAGGAAATGGTGATGGAGAATATGGCATGGAAATCTGTAGTAGCACAAGTTCATTGATGGTTGTTATCATATCACAATTAATTTACCTTATTCATTATATAATTGTTGTCACAATTCTTCCAGGTCATTAAAAAGCTGAGTTCTTACAGCCAGTGCCTGCTGTCCAGTCCCCTCATCATGCTGAAAACATGGTCCAAGTAAGTTGTTAAAAACAAACTTCAGGTCCTTGTCTCCACTTTCACTTCCTTTCTAAATCTAAAAAATTCAATGCTGAGAAGGGTGGTGGAGATTGTCATCTTGGGAAAATGTTCTCACCAGGAAAAGCTGTCCCAGGAGAGTTGGTGGTGGTGAGGGCAGTGCAGGACATGCAGCCTGCTGGGCTCTGCTGGGCTCTGCTGGGCACAGCTGGACACAGCTGGGCACTGCTGGGCACAGCTGGGCTCTGCTGGGCACTGCTGGGCACAGCTGGGCTGTTCTGGGCTCTGCTGGGCACAGCTGGGCTCAGGTGCTGCCTATCCCTTTGCTCTGAGCTTTGCTTTGGAATTTGGCCTCTTACTCTGCCTTTATTTCTTTCCAAAACCATCTTTCCAACAGTTTGGGGTTTTTTTGGTGATGTTTACAGGCCTGTGACCCTCCAAAAGGCTATCTGCTCTCACTCCCTTCCTCCCATTTACCAAAATGAACTTTCTCGGGGTCTGCTCTGAGTTCTCCTTGAGTTGATCAGTGTGAGGATTTGGGAGGACTTTGTTAAAGGTGGCAGATGTTGTCTGGGAGCCACACAATGACCAAGTGTTCTGTTTTAGTCAGTTCAGAGCTCAGCATGGCCCCTGGGGACTCCTTTTTGCTTTACCATGAGCTCTGCAGCTGCAGGGGAGACACAAGAGCAACCTTGCTGCTGCTTTTAACCACAGGAGGTTGTGGTGGGGGGAAGAAAACACTGGCAGTGAATTTTCTTCAGCCATTTCTGTGTGCAGAGGTTGTGTGTTTACACATCTGTGTTTAGCCTTTCCAAAAGATGCAGAGTTGCTAAAGGTAAGTTGAACACTCTAGCTCTGCTGAGCTGTGCTAATGAACCTGGGTTTATTGCTCCTTTTCACTCATTCAGACTTCAGCCCAGGACAGAAGCCCTCCTGCAGGCTCTGGTTAAAGAAAACTGTGATAATCGTGATGCCTTGGTGGCTGCCTGGAAGAAAAATCCTAAATGTAAGTGTTCTGCTTGCCTGATCATCAGGCATGTCAGTGGGGTACCTCGAGCACTGTTGAATTATAATTTCAAAAAATTAACTATTTCACTTGTTAAGCTCCAAATATTTCCTATTTTTTACCAGAAGCAGTAGTGCCCTGTGCTTGGTTCTTGTGAAAAATGACAGAAAGCACTTCAGAAAGCAACATTTATTTGTATTCTAAGATTATTTTTTCCCTGTAGTTATAACCACAGTTAAAATGCACAGACTGTGATGGTACTGTCCATTGATATATTGAATTTTTTTCCTGGTAAAATGGGTTTTCTTCAGTATGGGGTGCCAGATGATAAGAATTCCTTGACAGAAGCAGCAGCACGGTGCTGCAGTGATGGCTCACAGAGACTCCTGGAAGCATCCAAGCTCCAGCACCATCCCAGCCGTGGCTGCTGGTCCTGGCTCCCAGGGGGGTGATCCCTCAGGAGATTTTTCCAGCCAAACTCAGGAGCTGCTCCTCTCCCCCTGCAGATCTGCTCGCAGCCTACTGCCAGTGGGTGCCCGAGGCCGTGCACCAGGAGCTCGCCCTGAAGTGGCCACCAGTAGCCCTGTGACCCTTGCAGTGATGGACTCCTTTTCTCCAAGGTGTTCTGAGAGCTTTCCAAGGGTTTCCTTGGAAATCTGAACCAGATGGATTCACCAGCTGTAATAATGTGTTTTTATAAGCAAACCAGGTGTTGTTCTACTTTCCTAGAATTCCTGCCAGCTCTTGGGCTGCTATTTTATAATATTAATGTTTGGATAATTTTATCCATTGTATTTTACAGATTTTTTTTTTTTTTTTTTTAGACCTGAAGTTTCTCTTTGGACTATATTAGTCATATGAACTGTAATAAATGTGTAAAATTCTTGGTCTGGATGGGAGGAGTGTTTGCTCTGTGGGATGCTGCAGTGAGCTGTGCAGGCACATCCTCACGGGTGTCAGACAGAACCTGGGCAGCAGCTCAGGACAGGAAGCACAAAAATGAGCAGTGGTTTAATTAGTGAAGGGAAGAAGCTTGAGTTTCCCTTCCCCTTCACCTGATCCTTCTGAGCCTTGGTAAACCCTGTGCTGGTGGGCTGCTGCTTGTGACACTGCAGCAGGAGAAAGCTGGGACAGGGACCCTCCTGTCCCCGTGTTCTGCAGGGAACTGGAGCAGCCCAGCTGGGGATGTGAGTCCGCAATTCCCACTGCTCCCACCTCTGCCATGTGCTTCAGGGGAGAGGCCAGAACACAAGCAAGCAATAAAAACATCCAGAGCTGAAGAAACAGCGACTTTAGATCTGCAGCCAGAAGGAAAGCAGCCCCTTGGTGTGTTTGCAATCAAACACTGGGGTTTTGGGTTTGTCAGCACCACTGGGTTTGGGGTGTCCCCAGGCAGGAGGGTGCTGGGGGCTCTTGGCAGGGCTCCTTTCTTTTAGCAGGAATTGCAGCACAAGTCTGCACATTCTGCTGCGGGGAGGGAAGAAAATCAACAGGCGGTTATGGAGTGTATTGGGAAATTTCGGCTCGTCTCGAAAATAGGGCAGGAAAAGGAAAAACCACTGGCTCTGCGTGGACAAAAAGTGGAGATGCCGGGGATTGAACCCGGGGCCTCATACATGCAAAGCATGCGCTCTACCACTGAGCTACATCCCCTCGCTGACTGTGGTTCTGCACACAGTGTATACAGCGACAGCGGGAGCCGCAGAGCGGGCCCGGCGGTGGCACCGCGGTGACAGCGCGGTCACCCCGCGTCCCCTGAGCCCCGCGCTGCGCCCCGGCCGCGGGGTCAGAGCGGGACAGCGGCGGCGCCGCCAGAGGTGGGATCGCATCCTCATAGAGTGAGGCAAAAAAATACTACCGTACCCGTCCTCGTTAGTATAGTGGTGAGTATCCCCGCCTGTCACGCGGGAGACCGGGGTTCGATTCCCCGACGGGGAGGCACAGTTACTTTTGTCCCCGCATGCCATTTTTTGTGGGCGGCCGGCCCCTCGCGGAGTTTGTTTGTGACGCTGCCGTGTGACGCCGGAGGGGCGGGACAAAACCGGCAGAGCCGCCTTTTGTGCCAGGGGAGGGGAGCGGGCACGCCGCGCACTCCGGGGTGCGTGCGGAACACTCCGCCGCTGCCGGTACCCGCGGTCTCCCTGGGATCCTCGGAGTGGAAACGGGATCCTCGGAGCGGAAATGCCCGCGGGAAGGTGCGAATCCCCGGACAGCCCCGGAACCGGGCGGCGGAACCGGCACGGAGGGGCGGGTACCAACCGGGCAGCGGCGCCCAGGGGGGCGCGGGGCGGGGTCGTATCCACGGCCAGCGAGGGCGCTCTCGCCCGCCGAAATAGCTCAGTTGGGAGAGCGTTAGACTGAAGATCTAAAGGTCCCTGGTTCGATCCCGGGTTTCGGCAGAAGGCTATATTTTTAGTTTCAGTTTTTTGTTTTTTTTCTCTCCTCTCCTTACTGTGAAGACGGTTCTTTTTGCTGCCGAGCGGAGGGAGCGGGGGCTGCTGTCCCTGCGTCAGGCGGCCCAGCCGGTGTCATCGCAGGCGCTCCCTCGTGCGGGATTTTTGCGTCAGGAACCGCTTCCCAAAGAGCTGTGGCGATGGAGCAGATCCTGCAGCCCCGTCGGGCATGACCTGGCCCGCGGGGAGGTGTTCCTCAACCGTCCTCGTTAGTATAGTGGTAAGTATCCCCGCCTGTCACGCGGGAGACCGGGGTTCGATTCCCCGACGGGGAGGTTGTCCATACTTTTCTTTCCTTTTTTTTTTTTTTTCCTTTCCGCAGGGATGTCTCTGATTTCCGACGGAGCAACACCATTCGGTTTTCCGTGTGCGAACCAGGGCGTTCCTGTCTTTTTGAGGGCTGCCTGAGGACCGCATCAGGCTCTGTACGCTGCAGTGCCCACAGCGCTGCGGGGCCTGGCGGGGTCTCGGTCCCTCCCCGCACGGGGGCCAGCCCAGCGCGGACCTGGCCGGCGGGCAGGGGAGCGAGCGCGGGCACGGGGATGTAGCTCAGCGGTAGAGCGCATGCTTTGCATGTATGAGGTCCCGGGTTCAATCCCCGGCATCTCCACGTGGTCGCTGCTCTTTTTCCTGATGTTTTATCCAGTCAAAGCCACCGCGTCCCGTTAAGCAGCAGCAAACGGAGCGTGCGGCCGGAATGGGCCCACAGTGGCACTTCCCAGCGACAAAAAATGCTGTTTTTTTGGGTTTTTTTTTTCCATTTGGTTCTCCTCAGGCCTGTGCAAACACACACGGCTTTTGGTCCCATCTGTGAACTAAGGGAGGCGCAAAAAGAAGGGCAGAGCAGCAAACCCCGAAATGCAGGGGGACAGTGGCCACTCGTGCCAGGCTGGCACTGCCACACCCCCCAGCCTGGCAGAGGTGCAGCCACAGGGAGCACAGCGGCTCTGCTCCACATTCCCAGAGGCAGAGGGCAAGGACAGAGGCCAGGACGCTCCGGAGCTGCTCCTGGCTCTGCGGTGCCCGCTCCCGCCGCTGTCCTGGCAGCCCCTGGCAGCGGGAGCGGCTTGGGAAGAGCTCTCAGGAAACAAGCGCCCTGCCTCGCTCTCCTCGGGCTCAGGGGGTCTCAGGATCTCCTCTGGTCAAGCTGACCCCGAGATGTATTAAAAGTCTCTTTTCCTCATCCCAGCTGTCAAAGGAGTCAGAAGTCCTCGGCTGTCGTTCTCAAGGTTCTTTATAATTTCTTATCTAAAACATTTTCTGTCTGGCCTGCCGAGGTCTGTTCAGAAGGTCAGTCCGAGGCACACTGCCCTCCCAAGGAGCGTTGTCTTTTAGACTATAAACTACATCTTCAATATTTACAGTTATGTTCCAATACCTATCACCTGTGTTAGACAGTGACTTTCTACTCTACACCAATCCAAATATGCTAACATCACCAAGAAGATGGAGGCTAGGAAGAAGAAGGAAGAAGGACAGGACAACGTCCAAATTCCTCCATCTTGTCCCCTAGACCCCCATGGTAAAATTCTTCAAAATTCCACCTCTCACCCTGTGACAACTACTGCTATGCTACTTAAACTTTTGTGACTTGTAATTCTTCATATAAAGTCGGTAATTTGCTCCATGAGTTGAACTCAAAGCCGCAGGGGTCTTTGGGTGCATGCCAGGGTCTCCGAGCCCCTGCCAGGGCTTTGAGCCATCCAGGGCACCCAGAGGGATGTCCTGGGCTCCGACAATGGGGAAACGGCGTGGCTGGGAAGGCTGGGAGCTATGGCACAGCTGAGAGGTTTGGTGCAGAGAGACCAAAGCCCACGCAGAGCCTGCATGAGGCAGCTGTGATCCACAGAGCTCAGTGGCAGCTGTTCCACCTCACTGCCTGGTCACCAACAGCAGCAGGAGCTGACCGCTGACAAATGCGAAGTGACATTTCCTGCCACGCTGGCTGGAAAGCTCCTTGTGCTGTTTATTTACTCGTCTTACTTCTAGTTGTTATTTTGAGCCAATGTTTGGCTGCAGCGCTGGTAAGTGTGAAGATGCCCGTTGTAAATTACTCCCTGGATCTCCCTGGCAGCTATACTTCAGGAATGTGCCCTGCATGTGAATGTAAGAGACAGTTTGCAGTAACAGGCATGCAGAAATTGACTTTTTGTCACAAAACACTTTCCCATGTGCCTTTTTGGTGATTTTCTGACCAGTCCTAAGTGCTCACCTTGTAACTAAAAGAACAAGCTTAACATTATTATTCAGTTTCTGCTGAGGAAAAACCCAGACCTGGAAGGATTCTCCAATTTTTGATGCTTATATACTCCCAATGCACAGCATCAGCCACTGAGCACTGAGAAGTAACCAAAAGACTTCTGTGGTATTTTTTTTTCCCATCTAAATGAGTGTTTGAGATTATTATCACTACAGCTGTGGTGCGTGTTAGTACAAACACAAAGCAGCAGAGGCCAAAGAGCTCCCCAGAGCATTCTCCTCCATGTGTCAGGCAGACACAGGCACTTTTCCTCAAACCACAAAGCTGTTGCTGGACCTCTGCTCCTTTCCTGCTGGTGAGCAGCCCTGGGTGTTATCAGTGTCCCTTCCATTTTCCGTGGCGCTGCCAAATGAAGGATTTTGAAGGCGAATCAAACCGAATGGCCCTGCCTGAATCCTGCAGACAAAGCTCCTTTCTGTTCCCAGCTGCTGCCTGCAGCTGCTGTGCAGTTTGGGTTGGAGTGCGGCAGAGCTCTATCAGAACGTGCTCTTTGACAACACAATAAGAAATAGGCATTACTATTTCTGATTTTGCCCCTGGGTTACAAACTGCATTACAGCTCAGAGGTATACCCCACACACACATTGATTATCTCTCGGGCACGCCATCTGCAGGACTCCATCCCTTTATCCATCGGCCTTTCTTTGTCCCTCACGTTATAACACTCACATCCCCTCTCCACGCTGATCTCCCTCCCCAGGCAGGAGCCCCCTGCAGCCCCCCTTTCCTGGGGTGGTCCCTGCCCTTTCAGGCTGCCCCAGCCTCACCACAGCAGCCGCACACGGTCGGTGCCCTGTCCCTTGTGTGTCCCACGGTGACACCGAGGTTCTGGGATAAACCCGTTCCAGCCGTGCCCAGCCCAGCGCGGCTGTGCCTGGGTGGGTGACAGACACCGCCGTGCCCCACCACTGTGCTCTCTCACGGAAATAAATCTGGATGCGTCCTTCGGGATAAGGCCACGAGCTCCTTCCCTCAGGAACCCCCTCACGGTGCGGCCGCGGGCAGAGCCGACCCTCGCCCTGCCCTAGGGGTAGAAATGACGTGTTTATCAAGCAGGGGCGAAACTGCAGGGTTTAACCCCCTGAAGACAACGAAACTTTTCGTGTTTTCTGCTTTTACGAGCGGCCGTGTCTCCAAGTCGGGGTCCCTCGGCTGGCCCAGCCGCGGCCCCGCTCCGGCGGCTCCAGGCCGGCTTTTCCCGCCGCCCGCCGTCCCGCGCGCGGCAGCCGCAGCGCACCCGCGGAGGCGCCGCTCCCTCCGCGCCGCCTGCCCGCGCGCCCTCCTCGCCCACGCAGGAGAGGGGAGGCGCGCGGCGCGAGGCAAATAGTGCGCGGCGGAGTGATCCGAAGGCGGGGGCGGGGCGCCGGGGGCCATATAAGCACCTAGCGGAGGGATGCGTGGCGCACTTGGCGCTGGGTGAGGTTTGTGCTGTCGGCGTGGCCGAGTGGCGCCGCGGTGAGAGCTCTGCGGGGGAGGGCCTAGATACGGGCTGGGCGTCTGGGTGGGAGGGAGGGTGCTGTGCGCTGAGGAGCTGCGGTTGGGGGCGATGGCGGACAGTGATGGCGGGGGGGAGGGCTGGGACGTTGCCTTCCCCTTCAACGGCAGCACCGCGAGGCGGTGGCGGGGAAGGGCCGGGGCGAGCGGCCGCTAGCAAAATGGCGGCCGCGCAGGCGCAGCGGTGCTTCAAGATGGTGGGCGCGCGCCTTGGGCGGGAAGGAGAAGCGGGTGGGGGCCCCGCCCCTCCACGGGTGGGGGCGGGGCTTGCGCTGTGACGTCACGGCCGGGGCGCAGCCCCGGGTACGGGGAGCAGTCACTAAAGCACGGCGGGTTTTCCCCGTTCCAGGGAAAAATGCAGATCTTCGTCAAGACCCTGACTGGCAAGACCATCACCCTTGAGGTCGAGCCCAGTGACACCATTGAGAATGTCAAGGCCAAGATCCAGGACAAGGAGGGCATCCCTCCTGACCAGCAGAGGCTGATCTTTGCAGGCAAGCAGCTGGAAGATGGCCGTACCCTGTCTGACTACAACATCCAGAAGGAATCTACCCTGCATCTTGTGCTGCGCCTCAGGGGTGGCATGCAGATCTTTGTGAAAACCCTGACTGGCAAGACCATCACCCTTGAGGTCGAGCCCAGTGACACCATTGAGAATGTCAAGGCCAAGATCCAGGACAAGGAAGGCATCCCCCCTGACCAGCAGAGGCTGATCTTTGCAGGCAAGCAGCTGGAAGATGGCCGTACCCTGTCTGACTACAACATCCAGAAGGAGTCAACTCTGCACCTTGTCCTGCGCCTGCGGGGTGGTAACTGAACCAGCAGGTTGTTGCTTCCAAATAAAAGGTTCCCTGCACTTGTTCATTCCAATAAAGCTGTTGCATCTGTAAAAGTTTGTGTCCCAAGTTACACGAACAGTTGTTCCTGACGTTGCCCAACTCCGGGTCTCTAATAAACAATAATTACGTAGCTTTCCACAGACAAAGGAGTTGCAAAACTGCCTTATGCAAGGCTTCCACATTCCTGGTGGTTGTAGCTAATCCCTCAGCCGTGGTTTTCCTGGGCTTGTATAAGTGTTCTGATACCTGGCTGCAGCTCAGTGCCCGCCTGCAGATGTTGTGCAGCTGTGGTGTTGCGTAAGAAGGGATGTGCAACGGGGAGCTGTAGATGTTCCCCATCAAAAGGCTTTGAGATAGCTCTTGGTTGCCCAGCAACTGCCCTTATTTTGGGATTAGTGGAGAAACAGCAGAAGAGTGATCCCGCAGCTCTGTCACAGGCTGGGGAACAGGATGGTCCTGCAGCCCTTGGGCTTGGAAAGTGGGGTGGGAAGTGTAGATCTCATCAGTTACGGGGTGGACTTGTTTTTTTGTCAAGCTTAATGGCATTAAGCAAGCAATAATTTCAGATGTATTTACTGGAAATCTGAATGTGCTTCATTCCAGCTGTGCTCCAAATGGAAATGCTGCTGAGCTGAGCTGTCAGAGCAGTTCCTGTGTGCTGCAGAAGCCCTGGTAAAAGGGAAGTTGCCTCTGAAGTATTTGTGTCGGGGGTTGCAGGAGGGGCTGATGAGGAGTTAACCATGGGTGTGCTGGGTGTGTGGAGGGGGAAAAGGGAGTGACAGAAATGCCTTTTCCAGGAGTGAGGCTATGGACTCACCTGTGGAAGGGGATGTGGTGGGAGCTGAGTATGGTCCCAGCTGGTGGCTGGCTTCAGGGCACCAGAAGGGATCACACTGCCTGCGTGGGATAGCAGGGTGTGCCTCCAGTAACACCAGTTCCTTTTACTCGTGTGGCCTGTACGGAGCGAGTCGGGAGCACCAAGATGTGTGCTGTGCTGGAGATAGCATTTGAATGCTAAGGAGCTAAATCCCGTGTGGGTGGCAGCTGGTGCTGTGCCATCCTGGACATCCTGTCCTCCCCCACAGGAGTGCCCCGGGCTCTGCCCACGCTGCCCTGGCTCCCGCTTCCTGAGCTGAACCCCAACAACTGCAGGGAACACTTGGCCCTTGTGTGGCTTTCTGTCCTCTGGGGACAGCAGAATTCCCAAACTGAGCATCTGTCCAGCAGAACTCCTTAAACACAGATGCAGGGGAGCCTGTCTGGAATGCAGGGAGCAGAACTGCACGTGGTTCTGATTTGAAGGCAGCCTGACTGCCATCAGGGAGAGCTGCAGGAGGACACAGGGTGCTTGATGAATGCCAAAAGCCTCCACAAATCACTACAGAACCATGCTTTAACAAATCCTTTTTTTTCAATGCCTCAGTAAAAAACCTTTACAATGTCCTATTTAAAAGCCACAATGCTGTACAAGTCTGTCATGGCCTGGAGCAGGAAGCCTGGAGGAGAAACCCATGCTGTGACCTCGAGAGCTGGGTCAGCCTCTGCTGGCCCAAGGGAACGGTGTGAAGTTGTGTCAGGAGGGTTGGAATGGGTGTTAGGAAAAAGTTCTTCCACAGAGACTGGGCTGTGCAGGCATCCTGGGGCTGGCCACAGCACCAAGCCTGCCCCACTCCAGGATGAGTTGGGACAACACTCTCAGGCACCTGGTGGGATTTTGGAGCTGTTCTCTGCAGGTTTTTGACTTGATCCTCGTGGGTTCCTTCCATCCCAGGACATTCTGCAGTTCTGTGACCTCTGCAGGGTTTGAGGAACCTCAAGGCTCAGTGTGGCAGTGCCAACGCTGCAGAGGCAGCACCCGTGAGCAGAGACCACAGCTGGGGTGGGATCAACCGCACAGCAGCAAAATTTGATGAGAACAGCAAAGCTTGTTGTCAGCTTTAAGGTTGTGTTTTGTTCTAACCGTGGCAGAACACGCTGTTCCCAGAGATCTTCTCACGGTCGCGTTCTGCGGCGCCTCAGGGAATCTCCTGGGTTTTACTGGGGATTTTTGGGATTTGAAGAAAAGTTTCTTTCACAGCGTTTCTTTGTAAAAAAAATGTCTTTAAAAGTAAACACAGCACCTGCTTTGTGCGGTTCTGAAGGCATTGCTGCTGGGAGAGGGGGCCCATCCCACAGCGCAGACCGGCCAGGATTGAACAGAGACATTGGTTAATTGATCTGGTAATTAAACAGAGGCAACTATCAGGGTAGAAGATTTAGAAGGGAAATAAAAAGACCCAATTACGTGTAAAGATACAAATGCAAATGTTCCACTGAGGTGGGGGCCATGGCAAGAGGCAGGTGCTGTGCTGTGCTGGGCCCTGCCTGCTGGCAGCCGTGAGGTTGTGTCCTCTCTTTGTGCAGGACACTGTGTGGCAGGTGGAAGTGCTCCAGTTTCCAGATGTGTTAGCTCAGCTGGGACAAGGGGATGGTGTACGTGATTGATTTAAAACAGGCTGTCACAAACTGGACTTTTTATTTTCTGCTGCCTTCTAGATGCTTCTGGGGATGAGTCTCAGTGAGGCTTTTATTCAGGGTCGTGTTCAGATGCACGAGATGGACAAAAGACCCAGTTTTTTGGAAAAGCAGAGTTGGTTTAATGACAAAAGAAAGGCAGGTTAATGGTGATGGATGTTCCCTCCTCAGGCAAAACATACATATATATACATATACACATGAATACAAACAAGTTTATGTATTTTTTGATCTAGCACGTAGTGACAGAATAAGAAGGAATGGCTTCAAATTGAAAAAAATAGGTTTAGCTTAGATATTAGGAAAAAAATCTACTGTGGCGATGGTGAGGCACAGGGACATATTTCCCAGAGCAGCTGTGGCTGCCCCTGGATCCCTGGCAGTGCCCAAGGCCAGGTTGGACACTGGGGAGCAGCGTGGGACTGGACGGTGTCTATGGCAGTGGGGGGAACGAGGTGATCTTTAAAGTCCCCTCCAGCACAAACCCATTCTCTTCCACAATTGCATGACGGAGAGATATTTTATCTATTGATACATTTCCCTTCTCTCTCTGTTTTACCAATTTGCCCGTTTTTCCGTGGCACACACGTGTTTACATTGACGCCACGCTCGCCTTCCCTTTCCCGTCGCGCCTCCCGCGGGAGGGCGTGGCTGGGGGCGTGGTCTCCCACCAACAGCCCCGCCCCCTTCGGCGCGGTCCCGCCCCCTCTGCCGGGCCGGGCCGGGCCGGGCCGCGGGGCCATAAAGCGGCCGCGGCGGCGGTGGGGCCCGCTCCCGGTACCGCTCCGCCCCGCCATGGCCGTGGCCCAGCGCAGGCTGTCCGTGGGGCTGGGGCTGGCCGGGGTGGCCTGCGCGCTCGTGGGGGGCTGCCTGCTGCTGCTGGGGCCGCTTATCGTCAGGCAGCAGGTCATCAAGGTCAGCAGGGCGCGGGGGGGGCTCCGTGAGGGGCGCGGCGGGGCTGGGCTCCGTGAGGGAAGCGGGGTGGGCTCGTGCGGGAAGCGGGATGCGGCGCGGACCGGGATGCGGTGCGGGGTCGGTGGCGGGGCCCAGGGGGGTGTGCTGGAGGCCGGGTGCGGTGTGGGGCTCGGTGCGGTCGGTGGCCGGAGCCGGTGCGGTGCGGGGCTCGGTGCGGTCGGTGGCCGGTGCGGTGCGGGGCTCGGTGCGGTCGGTGGCCGGTGCGGTGCGGGGCTCGGTGCAGTCGGTGGCCGGTGCAGTGCGGGGCTCGGTGCGGTCGGTGGCAGGTGCGGTGCGGGGCTCGGTGCGGTCGGTGGCCGGGACTCGGTGCGATGCGGTCGGTGGCTGGAGCCGGTGCGGGTCTCGGTGCGGTGCGGGCTGGGGCTGGTGCGCGTTTCCCTTGTGCAGTGCGGTCCGGAGAGCCGAGCGCTGGAGATGGAAGCGTCGCTGCTGCAGCTCCAGCAGCCTCAGGCTCTTACTTTGGGCAAATGCGGGTTTGGGGTGTTCCGCCCTTGGTGACAGCCAGCGTGCCCGGAGTGAGCAGGTTAACCACCCCTGGTCAGCGAGGGCTCTTTGCATCGCTGGAATTAGCTGGGGATGCAGTGCTTGGCAGAGCATCACCCTGAGCACCGACGCTTCCTCCCTTCCCTCTGCCTCTACCTGCAGCACCAGTTATTCCTTTCATACGTAGATGAGCACGCTGCCGGGCTCACAGCGAGATGCTTTCCCCGCTGGAAACAGAAGCGCTCCAGAGGAGCCTTGTGCTTGGAGCAGCCTCAAAGTTATCCTCTCTCCTTCAGAAAGAAGTCCTTCAGACTGAAAGCCTGAAGAATTGCTTATCTGAATACCTCTTTTATCCCCAGGAGAGGTGCTGAGGCTGAAGAGGGTTTGTCCCCACAATGTGGGGCTGTGGATGGAGTTGTTGCTCTGTTCAGTAACTGCTGCACAGTTTTGTGAACCAGCACTCCTGTCCCTGCTGCTGGGACACCAGTTACCCTGCTGTAACCCAGAGCTCATCCCCCCATTCAGCCTAACCTTTTTCTCCCTGTCCAAGGCAGATGTGCTCCCTGCCTTGGCCTTTCTCCAAGCTTCCACCTACCCAGGTCAGCCCCTGGAAATTTGCTTCTGATGAAAGAGATGAACAAACACACCTCATAGCCAATGGCTGGCGCTGCGTGTGGCGCAAAGTCTCTGCTGAAAATGACCTACTTAAACATACCCCTTGGAAGTGCTGCTGGCTGGGCAGAGCCAGACAGTCCTGTGGATTAAACAGCAGAAAACCTTTGTTCTGTTTCAGGACATCAGAAACTGGTACCTGCCAATAAAAGGCTGAATGGCCCCTGCAGGACAGAAATGGCATTTTTTGTGTAAAAACCTCTCTGTCCTCTTTTTAGCTAATCCTGATTTTTTTTTTCAACCTAATTAGCTAAGTCCTGATAATTTGCAATGAGAACAGAAGATGAAGAAAAGATCAACCCTTGTTTCTCCTCCCTTCACCTCAAGTCCTTTCTCCCCATCTTCAAAATGACACAAAATTACCCTGAGCTCGTTTTTTTTCCATTTCACATTAAGCCTAAAAGCTGAG